AGGTGTGTGACCCAGGACACCCCCGTCTAGGCATCTAATTGCTTGGTAGTCCTCAGTTTAGACATCCAGAGGTTGCTTGATGAGCAGGGACTATATTAGAACCTGCCAGGGGTGGTCATTAGCTCTAAGGACCATTCCATCTAGGCCCTGCAGAACTTTGCTCAGGTTCTGAACAGGTCACGCCTTTCTAATCTACAGCTCAGGCCCTCTGTCTAAGATCATGCTATACCTGCTCTACAGCACTCAGGCCTTGGACTCCATCCTTTCTGAAGTCTGTGGGTTTGCTGAAGGAGGATGCCACTGGTATTGGGATTTGCTGTGTGCCTAAATCATTTCACTTCCCCACTGACAGATGTGGGTTTTTTTTGTTTTGTTTTGTTTTGATTTTGGTACCAGGGACTGAACCCAGTGGCATTTGACCACTGAGCCACATCCATAGCCCCTTTTTATTTTTTATTTTGAGTTGTTGAGGCTAGTTTTCAACTTGCAGTCCTCCTGCCTCAGCCTCCTGAACTGCTGGGATTACAGGTGTGCGCCACCATGCCTGGCTAGGTGTGGGTCTTTTAAGAGATGGTTAACTCCATTCATCAAAGGTCTAGAGTTTTTCCTCAGATTGTGGGGATACTTTGCCACCTGACTTAAGAGTCAGGTGTACTTCCTGAGTGTAAAACCTTGTTAGCTTGACTAGGCCCTAGTGGCTAGAACCTAGGTCTTCAGTTGGAGCACCTGCTTAACACTGCATGGCTAACTTTTTGAATGTCTCCAAGGCGTGTAATGTAGAAGAACCTACAAATGTTTATTTTGAGACATGAGTGGACTTCAAAAACCTTTAGCACCACAGCAGTGTCATAATCCCTGCTATGTGGAATAGTGCACATGGATGAGGTTCTAGAATCATTTCCAGAATAAGATGTGTGGCTCTGACCATTTGTGACCCAAGTATGAACATTTCCCTTAACAGCAGTGTTGGAGTGGGTTCCTCTATAACTTTGGGTCCATTTTTTAGATAAATAATCCTGACATGAGAGTGCAGATCCTCAAAGATTACGTCAAACAACACTTCCCTGCCACTCCGCTGCTCGATTACGCACTGGAAGTGGAGAAGATTACCACCTCAAAGGTAATAAAGGGAAAATTCGCTACTCGTGTTTCTGGGTGAGTTTCTTAGGGGAAATGGAAAGCAGTTTGATTGTATGTTCAAAATAAAATCTGGTTCCCTGGAAATTTTTATTTTTGTTGCATAACTAAATTGAACCAACAGAAGTGTGTACTAGCCATAGAGTCCTTTACTATACACTAGGAATTGAACTGACACAGTCTCCAGCACATGGGAGAGTTTGTGATTTTAAAACTCATAGTAATAGTAGTAACAGTGCAAAATTAAAAAAAAAATGAGAAATGATGTTAAATGCTTTGAATTTTTTGCCTTCCCAGAAACCAAATCTTATCCTGAATGTAGATGGTTTCATCGGAGTTGCATTTGTAGACATGCTTAGGAACTGTGGGTCCTTTACTCGGTGAGCACTGCAGCCATTTTCTTCTTCAGCTTTAATTTTTGTTCTTTCTTCCCAACCGTTGCCGACAGCTCAGTCCTTGTCCCCAATGCCAGTCTAATAACAAGGACATGGTTTTGAGAAAAAGGAAAAAGGCAGGTTATTTCTTTGCTAGCAAAGGAGAAACACAGGGGGCTCCTGTCCCAAAAGCTGTGATTCTGCCCATCAGCAGGAACAGGGGTTTTTTAAAAGAGGTGATTCAGAGAAAATGAGATTAGGGAGGAGAGATCAGGAAGAATGTGATGTGAGGGAGGAGAAGATTAGGGAAAAGAAGATCAGAGATCAGAGAAGATAAGATCAGGGAGGAGATCAGGGAGAAGCAGGTTGGGAAAAAGAAAAAAAAAATGTAAGTTTCAAAGCCACAAGGGATACAGTCAAAGCATCAGGTGAACCCCTGATACACAATTATGAATAATGTATGCTCACGATAGAGAATTTAGAAAGTATAAATATAAAGAGGTATAAAAAGAAAACAAATATTGTCTCTAACCCTACCACCCAGAGCACTTCTTTTTCATTTTGAAATTAAAGAGCTGCTTATCCCCAGGCAGTAGTAGTTACTGGGTGCCTGGAGGAGGACAGTCATGTGAGCCATTTTAAAACTACAAGTTGATTGTGTGTTGCAGGGAGGAAGCTGATGAATACATTGACATTGGAGCCCTCAATGGCATCTTTGTGCTGGGAAGAAGTATGGGCTTCATTGGTGAGTTTACTGTTGTTTTAGGCAATTTTTTCCCTTTAAGCCCCCATAGTTAAGCTGCACCACTTACCTGTGTAGTAAATATCTATAACAGAGATGTCACACTTTTCTTAATTGTCATTCTTAATCCTTTCTTTCTTTAATATTCCCCTTATTTTTACCCTTGTTCCTTTATTCTTGGGAAGGGCTCTGATTGCTAGCCTAGGAAAATGGCATTAAATAACAGTTCCCCTTTTGCCAAGTGGCTGGTTTTACCTGTGGGATCCAAATTTACTTCCCCATTTCTTTATGCCTTCCCTTTTTTTGTGTCAGGAAGACTTTTTTCCCCCTCCCTCATCCTCTGCCCCTCACCAGGCTTCCAGACTCTATGAACATAAAGATGTATTTTCTCCATTTCAGGACACTATCTCGATCAGAAGAGACTGAAGCAGGGGCTGTATCGCCATCCATGGGACGATATTTCATACGTTCTTCCAGAACACATGAGCATGTAACCAAGCCAGGAATCCTAGCACTGTAAAGTGAAGACAAGAACTCCTTGGGAAATAGCATGCAGACAGCTGGCAGTGGAGCCTGCTATAGGATGGGTCTGAATTGTAAGCCGCCACTGGTATGCAGGCACCAAAGACCAACAGCCATGGGTAATGCCTTTTCAGTCCACACAAAGAAGCTTAATATTTTTTTTTTATAAGCATAGAAATAAAAAAAACCAAGCCAATACTTGTGTCATTTTGCTCTGCTACCTGCTACCTGCTGTATTTATTATATGGAAGCATCAGAATAGTATTCTTCCTCCTTGTAGGACGTTATGATGTCACTTTCTTTTTTCTATCAGTTAAACATTTTTCCCTGCTTGGAGGAAGGGAATGAGACTTCAAGATATTATACATTTAAAGTATCTCCTGATGTCTTGTTTTTCTTCTTCCCTTTCCTCCTCCTCATAACATGAAGAACATTTGTATTAATTTGATTTTTAAGAATCTTTTTCTATGGGTTAAGGATTTATTTAGCACTCCACAGAAATGTTCTGTATTACAGGTCAAGGTCTGCTTACATGGGGAGAGGGGTGTGTGTGGGACCATTGCACCCTTTGCCATTGTCAAAAATGTGTGGAGTAGTAATTTAAAATGTAAAGTTGTAACCTACATATGTTTAAAATGGAAATGCCAAGCAAAAAGCTGTGAATGTCTTGTGTCTTATGTCTTATGTTCTCTGTATTTATGCAGCTGACTTGTCTGTCTGTTACTGAAGTGTGGGTCCAAGGACTCGTCCCAGTTACTTTGCATCTATAATCCAGAGATGCTGGGTAGTTGCCATCTGTCTCTTCTCTTTATTATTATAGTTTCGTTTAAATAAACTATATAGTAACAATGAAAGCATGCTGCTGTCTCATGTCATCCATATTCTTTTATCTGTATTCCTTCGAATTGTACTAATTCAGTACTATTTGGTTTTAAATTTTTAGTTCACTTTTTTTTTTTTTTTGCAGGGGGGGCGGTGGTGGCAATCAGGGATTGAATCCAAGGGCCCTCAACCACTTAGCCACATTCCCCAGCCCATTTTTATTTTATTTTGAGATAGGGTCTTCCTAAATTGCTGAGACTGGCTTTGAACTTGTGATCCTCCTGCCTCAGTCTCTTGAGCCCCTGGGATTGCAGGTATACACAACCACCCCGGATTTAGTCCACCCCTTGAAAAGAAAAATAGGAATAAAACCTGCTTTGCTGGGCAGTTGGTGTTTGAGGATAGCCCAAGCATCTCAGACCCTGTCTCTGTCCTTATTTCCCTTTTGATTCTGCTATAATCCTCCACAAAGACACCAGTGATTTGTGTGTGTGGTGTGGTCGGGTACTGGGGATTGAACTCAGGGGCACTCAACCACTGAGCCACATCCCCAGCCCTATCTTGTATTTTACTTCAAGTCAGGGTCTTACTGAGCTGCTTAACGCCTCACCATTGCTGAGACTGGCTTTGAACTCGCAATCCTCCTGCCTCAGCCATGTGCCACCGGGCCACCGTGCCTGGGGCACCAGTGATTTTTCAAAACACATCAAATGGAACCACTCCTTTGCTTCAAAACCCAAAATGGCTTTTATTCATCTTTTTAACCATTGCGAAACTGAACTGAAACATATGACTCAAGCATTACCTCATTTAGTCCTCACTGTGACCTTTCAAACTAGGTAACATCCAGTTTTTAGAAAACAATAATTCCGTTCACCCTTATCAATTTAGCCAAGGGTCACTTTTTCTTTCTTTTCCCGCTTAAATTATTTTTCTCCAAATCCATTTTACTAATTTTTGGCAGTGTTGGGGATCAAACTCCCAAGCCATTTTAAGTACAAAGCCCATGTAACGACCGAACGTTTAACTGGGTGATGGACCAAGGTAGCTTAAGTGTTTTGTGCATGGTGTGTATTGCGGACTTAACCTGGGGGTGCTTTACCACTGGGCTACATCTCAAGTCTTCCGAGACAGGGCGCCCTGAGATCCTCCTCCCTTAGCCTCCCGAGTCACTGGGGTTACAGGGGTGCGCTACCACGCCTGGCAAGGTGGCTTTAACTTCACAAAACGTGAAGCGCGAGCGCGGCTCTCAAGGAGGGGAAAAAGCCATCCACTCCCGAGGTCGGTGGGAGCCTGAGGCTGACGGGCGCGGTGCTGCGGCGCATGCGCGGCGCGACGGCGGGCGCAGGCTTGGCTCCGCCCTGCGCGCACTATTTAATCCCAGAATCCTTCTGTGTCGCACTAGAATGGCCGCACGGTTCTGAGACTGCGGATACTGGCGCGGCGGCGTCAAGATGGCGGCAGCAGTGGCGGCGGCGGCAGCAGCGGCGGCCGCAGCTGCATCCCTTCAGGTGCTGGAGATGGAGAGCATGGAGACGGCCGCCGCCGGCTCAGCGGGTCTGGCCGCCGAGGTCCGAGGCAGCGGCACGGTGGACTTCGGGCCCGGGCCCGGGATCTCTGCCATGGAAGCAAGCGGGGGCGATCCTGGCCCGGAGGCTGAGGACTTCGAGTGCAGCTCCCACTGCTCGGAGCTGTCCTGGCGGCAGAACGAGCAGCGGCGCCAAGGCCTTTTCTGCGACATCACTTTGTGCTTCGGTGGCGCCGGAGGCCGCGAGTTCCGGGCCCACCGCTCCGTGCTGGCTGCCGCCACCGAGTACTTCACACCCCTGCTCTCGGGCCAGTTTTCCGAGTCGCGCTCGGGCCGGGTGGAGATGCGCAAGTGGAGCTCGGAGCCGGGGCCCGAACCCGACACGGTGGAAGCCGTTATCGAATACATGTACACCGGCCGCATTCGCGTCAGCACCGGCAGTGTGCACGAGGTGCTGGAGTTGGCCGACAGGTAGGCGAGGGCGGCGGGGCCGCGGACCACAGTCACTGCACTGCTGCGGGGCAGCCAGTGCGTTGGGCACGGAGGATGCAGCCGGGATTCTGCCGAAGGCGCCCTGCCCCCAGGGAGCGTAGACTGCAGGGCGAGGGACAAAGGCGATGAACAGCAGTCAGTATGTGATGAATGCTGTGATGACATTTAAAAGTAGTGAAAGGCTCGTTGTTGAGGAAAGACCTTTCTGAGAGGTGACATTTAAACCGACCTCTAGATGACAAAAAAAAAAAAAAAAAAAAAAAAAAAAGGTGCAAAGATGGAGGATGAACATCCTCAGGCATGATCCCGTTTGTCTTACGGAGGGAGGGACTTTAAAAAGGAAAATCCTTTGAGGTGGGATCTAGTGGGTGAAGGGAAGAAAGGGTGTGTGACATGCGTTGGAATAAGGAGTTTAGATTTTACTGAGTGTAATGGGAAGCTGGGTAAGGAAATGATGTGATTTAAGTATTTTAAAAGATGAGTCTATTACTATGGAAAACGCTTTGTAGGGAGCGGGAATGTATGTTCCAGAGACTGTGAGGAGGCAGTATCTTTTTACATCCTCTATTTTAACAGATACCTAGTGAGCACCTATTATGGGTCAGGGCAGACTCTAGACTCTAAGGTACTTGGAATCCAGCCTTGAGCAAAACAAATGAAAGCCCCTTTCCTCTTTGAACTTACATTTGGAGACAGTAGGTAAAATATAATCTGTTGAATGATGATTATTGCTCTGAAAAAAATAGCGTGGTGGAAGGTACACACATAGAAAGCCCTGATGGAGAGGAACTGACTTTTAAACTGGGTGATAGGGAAAACCTTTTGCAAGGAAATAAAGGAGGTAAGGTAGAGAGTGTTTCGGGTATGAGACACAAGTGCAAAGCTGCCATTATGGGCTGTGTGGCTAGATAGAGGGAGCTAAAGCCTTGGGCTGGTAATTCTGATCCTCTAGGGCCTCTGGAAGCATAGGAGCTTTTACTTTGAATGAGATGACAAGAAGAATGATGTAATTTGAAAAACTAGCAGAGACTAGTGTAAGTTGTTGGAATGGTGGTGAAAGCTTGGATTGAGAAGGGAAAGGAAAGGTGATGGGAAGGACTGACATCTCCTCTTCCCCCTCAGTGTTGGAGATCAAACCCAGGGCCTCCTGTATGCTAGACAAATGCTCTTCCACTAAGCCACACCTCTAGTGCCCCTCCCCTCACCAACATCTGTATTGTGAAGGTCAAGTTATTGTTAAGATGTGGAAGGTTGCAGAAGAGCAGGTTTGGGAGGAGGGTCAGTTTGAATTTATTCAAAGAGATATCTAGGTAGACGGTTGGGTTAGAAGAGCATCCTTGAGTTTTAGGCATCATGGTACACACCTATAATCCCAGAAACCTGGAGGCTTAACCAAGAGGATTGTGATTTCAAGGCCAGCCCCAGCAATTTAGCAATGCCCTCAGCAACTTAGTGAGACCCTGTCTTGAAATTAAAAATGAAAGGGCTGCTGATGTTGCTCAGTGGTTAAACACCCCTGGATTCAATCCCCTGTACCAAAAGAAGAAGAAGAAAAGCATTGAGTTGTTAAGTCAGGTTATGGGGGAAAAAAATCATGAGGAAAAACAATGCAAGGAAAGCCTTATCAAGCAGGAACATCTCATTAAACATAAATCTTTATATTTAAGAAGAAAGTATTGGAAGCTAGACATAAAGATTGAGGGAAAAATAGCATATAAATGGTAATTAAAGCCATGCAATGACTGAAATTACTTAGAACAGTGTAGGTAAAAAAAGGGAAGCGGGGAAGGGGCAAGCAAAACAACCCTGGAATTCTCCAAAATGATAAAGAAGCTAGCAGAGGAGACTAGTCCCATAGAGGTGTAGAAAGGAAGAATGTCAAGGAAGGAGTAGCCTCTAAGTGATCACTGGAGGTTGTGATGGCATTGACAAGAGCCTGCAAAGACTTGCTATAAAGAGGGTAGGGCTGGCCAGGCATGGTGGTGCACACTATAATCTTAGCTACTCCGGGGCTGAGGCAGGAACGTCACACATTTGAGGCCAACCTCAGCAGCTTAGCAAGACTGTGTCTCAAATTTTTAAAAACTGGTGGGGAGAGGAAATATTGATGTTACAGGAGTTGGGGGAATGATAAAGTATGAGGCTGGATTAATTAGAAGGCAGGGCAGGATGGGCATATCCCTGAGAGAGGGAGTTCCTTAAATGAAAATGTGAAGAGAAGGGTCATTGCGCTCAATGAAGCTTTGTTTGTTTTTGTCCTGTGACCTTGTGTTTTTCAGACTTGCCCCTTTTGGTGGGAAAGTAAGGGTAAGGAGAGAAGACTCCAAGCAGTTTACTTTTAAAACTATCAGGAAGGGAGGATGAGCATCTGCCTTGTGTCTGACACTATTCTAAATGCTTTGCAAACATCTCATTTTATCTTCCCATCAACTCTGAGCCTCCATCCAAATATATTCTGAAACTTGTAAGGATCAAAAATAATGCCCCCAGCATAATTCCTGTCACATGACAGATGCCAAGTGTGTGAAGTGTTGTTTTCAGAGAGCAGTGCTTCCAAACATCTGTCTAAGGGAACATACCTCAGAGTTACCTGTAGCACCTGACAAACATAGAGAGCTTAAAGGCAGCCTAGGAATCAAGTGACCCTGGCACCCAGTCTGTGTGAGAGCCATTAGAGCCCTTCCCACTCCCCCTTGTCTTTGTTTTATATCTAATATGTATGTTTTCATAAGAGGGTGAAGGCAGCCTTTCTCATTTATCTTTTTATCATCATACTTAGGGTAGTTATTAAGCACAATAACCTTAATAACAAACCTTTATTGAATTAAGATGGGCCTAGTTTGGTGAAGTTATCTTGATATTTTTTGAGGTTCTTCTCAGCTCTAGAATTTACTCTTCTTAAAGCAGTTGTCTCAAATTGGCCACCCTTGGGCTGAATGCTGCCAGATTTATGATTTTGGCTAAAACTTTGTGTGTGTGTCTTCTGTAGTGTTTTTTTTTTTTTTTTTTTTTTGTGGTGCTGGGGATTGAACCCAGGGCCTTGTGCGTGTGAGGGAAGCACTCTACCAGGAAATATTGATGTTACAGGAGTTGGGGGAATGAGCTATATCCCCAGCCCTCTTCTGTGTTTTAAATGAATTGACTTTAAGTGGGCAGGCAACATCCTATCAGCTACATGCCAAACTACTTTCTTCTGTTTTTTAATCTACACGTCCTATACATGTGTTTTTTGTTCTTGTGCTTCTAATTTGTTTCCTGATTTTAGATGGTAGAACTTGCCTTCTTGTCCCTGCTTTAATGAGAATCTAGTTCAGAACAAAGCCCCCCAGTCACCTCATCCTCTCTGATAATCTAAGGAGAATCCTCTGGTGAAGAGGACAATAAGACCTCTGACATAAAGCCTAGACTATTCTTCCTTTTGATATCTGACCAGAGTCTCCAGGAAGTCACAGTTCCTGCCTTGCTCTTACTTTAGACTATATATGATAAAGCCTTTCACCAAGACCTTGCCTTATGTAAGATGACTGGGTATGGTGGCACATGCCTGTAATTCAGTTACTTGGGAGGCTGGGTGCGGTGGCACATGCCTGTAATCCCAACAAAGCAGCTTGGGAGGCTGGGACAGGAGGATCAATTGCGAGTTCACAGCCAGCCTCAGCAGAAGTGAGGTGCTAAGCAACTCAGTGAGACCTCTCTAAATAAAAATATAAAATAGGGCTGAGAATGTGGTTCAGTGGTCAAGTGCCCCTGAGTTCAATTCCTGGTACCCACCCCCCAAAGAAAATAAATAAAAAGAGCTGAGCATGTAGCTCCCACACCCTTCTCCAATGGATCCCCAATACTGCAAAAAGCAAAAGAGAAGGCCAATGGCTAGGCATAGTGGTGCATGCCTGTAATCCCAGCTACTTGGGAGTCTGAGGCAGAAGAATTGAAAGTTCAAAGCCAGGTATAGTGGCACACGCCTGCAGTCCCAGTGGCTTGAGAGGATGAGGCAGGAGGATCTTCAGTTTAGCCAGCCTCAGCAAAAGCAAGGCGCTAAGCAACTCAGTGAAACCCTGTATCTACATAAAATACAAAATAGGGCTGGGGATGTGGGTTAGTGGCTGAGTGCCTTTTAGTTCAATCCTCAGTAAATCCCCCCCCCCCCCCGCCCCCGAGAAGAAAGAAAGTTAAAGGCCAGGTGAGCCACTTAGGGAGACCCTGTCTCAAAATAAATTTTAAAAGGGGCTGAGGATGTTGCTCAGTGGTAGAATCCACTTAGGCTCAATCTCCAGTACCACAAAAGATAAAGAAAAAAAAAAGGAAGAGACCAGTGACTAGCAAGGAATTAGGAAAGAATGGCAGAGACAAGTTTGGTTTGGAATTTGCCTTTGCTGATGATAAATTAAAATGAAAATAAAGTACAAGACTATTTATTGTACTTTGTTTAATTATATGTTCCAGAAAAATCTTACAAAATTAAAAACGTATTTTATACCTGAGTATATTTTTGATGTATGATATATAATTATGTATAAACTAATATAAATACTTTTAAATGTATTTTTACATAAAGGTGAATTTTACTTATACTTCTAAGTATACTCTTTTCTAGCCTGTGCTTTCTGATTTAGGGAATTTTTTCTTTTTAGATGTGCATCATGTGAGATTAATATTATTTTATTTGTTTCATTTATGTGCTTTCAAAATGCAACCACAGAAGATATGCACATTTGAAAATTAATCTTTTACTTTTTTCTTAATTCTAGATTCTTATTAATTCGCTTAAAAGAATTTTGTGGAGAATTTCTCAAGAAAAAACTTCATCTCTCAAATTGTGTGGCCATTCATAGTTTAGCGCACATGTATACCCTGAGTCAACTTGCTCTAAAAGCTGCTGATATGATACGGAGAAATTTCTACAAAGTCATTCAGGATGAAGAATTTTATACCTTACCTTTCCATCTCATTCGAGATTGGCTTTCAGACTTGGAAATTACGGTTGATTCTGAAGAGGTTCTCTTTGAAACAGTTTTGAAGTGGGTTCAGAGAAATGCTGAAGAGAGAGAGAGATACTTTGAAGAACTTTTTAAATTGCTCAGGTTGTCCCAGATGAAACCTACCTATCTTACTCGACATGTCAAACCAGAGAGGCTGGTGGCCAATAATGAAGTTTGTGTCAAGCTGGTGGCAGATGCAGTGGAGAGGCATGCTCTGAGAGCTGAGAACATACAATCTGGCACATTCCAGCATCCTACTTCTCATGTCTCATTATTACCTCGCTATGGGCAAAATATGGATGTGATCATGGTTATTGGAGGTGTGTCAGAAGGAGGTGATTATTTAAGTGAATGTGTGGGATATTTTGTTGATGAGGACAGATGGGTGAACCTGCCCCATATTCATAATCACCTTGATGGACATGCTGTGGCAGTAACAGAATCCTATGTGTATGTTGCGGGATCAATGGAACCAGGGTTTGCTAAAACTGTGGAAAGGTACAACCCAAATTTGAATACATGGGAGCATGTTTGTAGTCTGATGACAAGGAAGCATTCTTTTGGGCTAACAGAAGTTAAGGGGAAGCTGTATAGCATTGGTGGACATGGCAACTTTAGTCCTGGCTTTAAAGATGTGACTGTTTATAATCCTGAGCTTGATAAATGGCACAACTTGGAATCAGCACCAAAGATTCTTCGAGATGTCAAAGCGCTCGCCATCGAAGACCGATTTGTGTACATTGCTGCCCGCACTCCTGTGGACCGAGACACTGAGGATGGGTTGAAGGCTGTAATTACATGCTATGATACAGAGACTCGACAGTGGCAGGATGTGGAATCTTTGCCACTTATTGACAATTACTGCTTTTTCCAGATGTCTGTGGTCAATTCAAACTTTTATCAGACGGCATCATGCTGTCCCAAGAGTTATTCTTTAGAAAATGAAGAGGCAGTAAGAAAAATTGCCAGCCAAGTGTCTGATGAGATCCTTGAAAGCTTGCCTCCAGAAGTCCTAAGCATTGAAGGAGCAGCCATTTGTTATTACAAAGACGATGTCTTCATTATTGGAGGCTGGAAAAACAGTGATGATATTGACAAACAGTACCGGAAAGAAGCCTACCGATACTGTGCAGAGAGAAAAAGGTGGATGCTCCTTCCTCCCATGCCACAGCCTCGTTGTAGAGCCACTGCTTGTCACGTCAGGATCCCATACCGGTACTTGCATGGCACACAGAGATATCCTATGCCTCAAAATCTAATGTGGCAGAAGGACCGCATCAGACAGATGCAAGAAATACATCGGCATGCCCTGAACATGCGGCGGGTGCCAAGCTCCCAGATTGAATGCTAAATTCTCTAACACATGCAGCTTATAAACTGTTCTCCATGTTTAAACATGAAGCTGAAGATACCCAGACTGTTACTTGAAAAAGTATGTCGATAACTTATTTTCTACCTGGAATGATTATAACTCCATGTAAAGGAAGTATAGTTAAAAACTGAAGAATGGGAAACTGAATTCAATACATGGTAATTTTTGTTAGTTTGTGATCTTTATCTGTCTTTAGTTTGTGTGTGTGTGTGTACAAGCTAAATAAGATCTTATTAAAGACAAGTGGAAAAAGCAGGTCTAATTATTTGGCTGTTTTTCTGCCAACAAGTTATAACTCCTTTGTCTTAAGGGATTTATGTTTTGAAAATGCTTTAAGTACCAATTTTGTTTGCACATTTCCTTTGATATTCCTTTTCGTTTTTTATAGAATGGTTGGTTTCAACAAGATCAGAATTTATGCATTAAGCCCTGGTCTGCAGGAGGCATGTGCAATAGTGAGACTGAAATTTAAAGGAAAAAGCACAATATTTTAGCAAGATAATTTCAGAATGTTTGCATTGATATTTTTTGTATGTGTTTATCTAGAAGTGCTGTTTTGTTCATTTCTAGGTGATTGGCTCATGGTTGTTTTTGTTTTGTTTTTACTTCTTTAGCAGCTATTTATAGACTTCAAGCCTTCACCCTGAGATATGGTAGTTGGCAAAAAATTGAATCCAGAGGAAGTTACATATATGAATTTGTTTAAGAAGAAAACTTTTTTTTTTTTTTAAGAAGAAGATGAAGAAGAAAAGTATTGTAAGTGTAGACTGAGAAATCAAAAGAATTTAAAACTTTTTTTCAGGAGTTTCAGGAGTACTCATGCAAACCTTTGTTCTATTGCTTTTGTTTTGATGATGTGTGCAGGTTTCCCTGACTACTGAATTTCTAATTTTTATATTTGAATTCACAGGATTATTTGAGGATATGTTAATGAGTTTAATGCTTATGACAATCGATACTCAATGCCTTCAGTTTAAAGTTTTGCTCTAATGCATGTTATTTAGAATCTTCATTTCTTTCTAAAAGAAACTTTTCAAAATGGAAAGAAAGTAACAATTTGGAGAAATGTTGCTAAAGAGAAGCCTTATTATTTCTGGCCCTGATTGTTGTAATATTTTATGCAGTTGTCCTAGACTTGTATTGGAACTTTGCCTGAGCCTAGAATACCAAATTTGGGTGCATTAATCACTGCAACTTTCCTTTAATTTTGTGCATTATTCTGATTCTCTGACACTCCTGAGCTTTATAAATGAGTTAGCATTCGGGCTGATTCTTTCAGCACTCAGTTAACATAAAGGACTCCTATTTGGTGGTTTGCAGTGTGGATCCTGTATTTTCAGAAATGTCTTTACCTTTTTTAAAAATTCTGGAATACCATTTTAGAAGTCAAAGTCCAAGTGCAATGATTTTTTTCCTCCAGCCTTATAGTTAACCACCTATAGGTTGTTAGTGATCAAACTATCAAACCATCAAGAGAAAGGCACAACCAGAAACTTTGGCTCTCAAAGAACTTTCCTGAATTTTCTAAATTGTATTCCCACCTAGGATAAGTATTTTTAATAGATTGGAAATCGGTTTTTAAACCATTTAATTTAAACTGGAGTAAGGATGGGAAACTGCAAGTCTGTTTCTTCCTAAGAATATATTATTATCCTACCACACTACTACATTTCTCTCAATTTCCATTTCTTCGTAGTTATTTTTTAGAAAGCCATTTGGGTTCTGAGAAGCACTAATTCTTGGTTGGGAGAGGTCTATGCAAGTAAGACAGAATCATCAAAGCTCAATGATTTATCTCTGATGGGCTCTGCTAGCAAATTTACTTTTCATGGTTATGTTGAAATAACTTAGTATCTCACTAGGATGCCAGTTTTTCTCCAAAAGAGTGTGAAATATTGTTTTTGTTTTTTTTTTATTTTGAGACAGGGTCTTGCTAAGTTGCTGAGGCTGGCTTAGAACTTGCTCCTGCCTCAGCCTCCCAAGCTGGGATTATAGGTGTAGGCTGCCCACACCCAACCTATTTTTGTTTTTTGATCTCATTTCCAAGTTGTTTACAGGGTCATTTTTTTTTCAATGATATGATAGAATGATAACTAGTAAGATTTAGGTATAATCTGGTTTTAATAACTTGATCAAAACTGTTATTTTTTAACTCAGCAGGCAGCCTAGGCCTTGACTGAAAGAAGGGGTAAGTCCTTCATTGCATGATGATGTGTGCAGGTTTCCCTGACTACTGAATTTCTAATTTTTATATTTGAATTCACACTGACTTCACATAGTAACTTGTGTTTCTAAAATATCCTAACTCACTTGTTGATAAGGAAACAAACCAGATTTGCTTAAATCTGTTCAAGGCTGACATTCTGAAATTCTAAACTGGAAATAAGACTATTTGGAATGGTTCTAATATTATGATCAGGCCTCAAGTGGCTGTTTGGGAAAGAAGTTTTCCTTTTGATGAAACTTCAAAATGGTGTTTGGTAATTTAAGCAGTTTTTAAAAACACAGCTTAATAAAAAAAACAGCTCAATGAGTACTCATGCAAACCTTTGTTCTATTGCTTTTGTTTTTCTTTGATGAAAGGGAGAGAGAGGAATTGATAATACCAAAAAAAAAAAAGTAATAACTATACATAACTTTTGGTGAGGCTGCTTTCATCTTAGAATGGGGTATCCTTGAACTATAACCGTAACATGGTTTTTAAAAAAATCAGTACTATAAATTGAGAATGTCAGTCATGAGCTTAGTGTTTAATACATCTCACTTGGAGTTATTTGCATGATTAGTCTTGTGTATCTTGATAGTCAGCTTTGCTTTTGCTGTGCCAATTCAAAAATAACGTTTTTTCTAAGAGCTCTTAGAATTAATTGACATCAGATTTGTTTTGATCACCTGGTTTTGTATAGTATTTCTGGGACCAAGACATTTATATTAAAGCAACAACACTTGACCATTTTAAGGTAGAGCATAAGAAACAGTTATCTATAGAAGATTTGTGTGCTTTTGTGTTTTAACCCTTTCAGGCTGCTGGCTAGGCAGTTTCTAGAGCACTCTCTTTCCTCACTTATCTCATGACTGGTGTAGCATGTGATATGTTTAAAATATTTCATTTTGTGCTTCATGATTGTCATATCAACACTATATTCTAGACAGGTGAGCTGAATTATACATTTATTTACTCGGTCTGATTCAAGCAAAACTAAAGGAATTTTTTTGGTACTTTCCTCAAACTGAGCTTAAATAAAAAGGATATATCAGCCACATTTCATGTCTTTGAAAATAAACAGTATCGTGAAACAAACACGCTGCCTCCACTAGAAAAATAGGGTGCTTTAACTGTCGAATATTTGAGAAACTCCTCAGTCTCTCCTCCACCGTCAACCATTTTGACACAGCTTGTCACTCCAGTTTGTGACTTTCTTAAGAAGAGTCCATATTGTTGTTTGATGCTCACATTATAACATAGGTTCTGGTCACTGGACCAAAACCAAAACAGCTTATAGTTGAGTGCTACAATACAGTAACATAATAGTCATTTTGCTTTAAGGAATTTAATTAATCAAATTATTGCTCTTTATCCATGGCTCCTGTAGGGCTTTCCTCTTACTCTGTGACCATTCCTACAAATATTTTACACTTACACTAAAGCACATAAGCTAAAGCACTTGTTAGCTTATTCCTCCTACTTCATGCACTCGTGAAAAGCAGTGCTTGCTAGGTGTTTGAAGATATTACAATCCATGTGCTAGGGCTCATTGAATTATTTGTAAAATTGATATTTAGTTGTTAACAACTTTTTGGGCTAGCAGTATCCAGGCCCCTCTGCAAGGTATAATCTTGACTGTCTCCCTTCAAGTCAGAGGAGATGTAGTATTTAGAAGATTTGAGACATTACGTTTTAAAATAACTTGTCTTATGTTACTGAAGCTATCTTGCTCTGTGTTAAAGCTACTAATTGTCTCAATGTTAAGTTTTCAATAAACATATTTCTTTAGAGCTGGTTTGCACTGTGTGTTTTTTTTAGTTGTGTACTGGTGAAGTTAATTACATTCTTCCCCTACTCCCTCATTTATCCAACCCTTGCTTCCCTTAAGTTGAACATTTTCCAGTACTCTTACAAGTTTAAAGACTGCATTTATTTAAAAAAAGAATTAATTCTTTTTTGCTTAGACTTTTTATTAGCTAAATGAAGAGGCTCATACAGGTAGGGTACTTGTCGAAGCGGAATACTTTACTTCATCTCGCAGTGCTAATCCTGTGAAGTTGTCCCGTCTAGCTGCATATTCCCCAACATTGGCCAGCCCCGGTACCACACAGCAGCTCAGAGCACTGCGGTATATACTCATGTCATGAGCATCATACCACTCGTCGGTCTTTTCATCATAGCACTCAACATTAAAGGTGGTGGTAAAGCCATTAAAGCCACCTACCACAAACAAGAGGTCATCCACTACTTCGATGCCAAAATTGCTACGTGGATTAAACATAGTGGGGATCGTACGCCAAGTATTAGCCACTGGGCTGTAGGCTTCCGCACTCCTAAGTCGATTAGCTCCATCAAAACCACCTACCTGTGGATTGCAAAAGAAACATGGTTGGCTGGTAACCATTGCTTCTGTTCACTGAGGAAACCCTCTTGGGACTTCAGGGCCTGGTGGATACACCTGTAATCCCAGTGACTTGGGAGCCTGAGGCAGGAGGATCACAAGTTCAAAGCCAGCCTCAGCAATTTAGCGAGACCCTAAGCAACTTAGTGAGATCTTGTCTCTAAAAATATAAAAGGGCTGGAGGTATAGTGGTAAAGAGCCCCTGGGTTCAATCCCTGGTACCAAAACAAACAAAAAAACCGAAGCCCTCTCTTGGGGAGAACCAGTGATCTCATGCCTCCCTCTTTTCAAATGCTTACCAAAGGTACACTAAACCTGTTTGCTAACAAAATCTATTTTTCTTGTACAAGACAAACTTACCGCATATACGTGTTCCCCATAAGCAATTACACCTATTCCACTCCTCCTGCTTCTCATGGGTGCTATGACTGTCCACTGATTACTCTCAGTGTTGTACACTTCTGCTGTAAACAGGCATTCATTTCCATTAAACCCACCACATATGTAGACCTGCATGAAGAGAGTTGAGAGTCTGTTAAAATTGCTCTTGGGAAAAGAAAGAATCAGCG